CATCGCACCCGATTTAACACTCTTTCGCACCCCGATTAAACAATGTTTCATATGATATGCCGCTGATGGGTTGGTATGATCAACATTCTTCATTCTCAATTGGAACCGTTCAAATTTTAACAATTCAGTGTTACATTTATTTTAAACAAGCATTCTTGAGATATTGCAGTTTTCTGATCGTAAGTGTGTAGACCTAGGCTATTTGTTGCGGATGCAAATGTGAAGTTCTCACAAAATATAGTTCATTATTCTGGCAAAAAGCATTATTTAATATCATTATACCGGATTTGTGACATTCAACAAGAGTCCTATGTCTTGCAAGGACAGGAGTGTGGAGTGTTTGCTTGTGACACAAAACTGGTGGCAGTTTTTGCTACGGACAAAAAGATCTATACACCATCAAATGGAAATTGCAATTTAATCATTCATGCAAGTTTAGAGTTATCTAGTTACATCCTATCGAGAATTATTATTCAGTATCTCGATCTATTAGTTTTATCACAGATTAATTGTAACCAATACGCCAAAGAGGACGTTTATGACGGATGCTGCAATATTTTCTTTTCAGTCTGACGCCTATGTTGATCTGCGCTATTTCTTCGCATTGTACTAAATATTTTACACGGTTTATATTGATTTTCATAGTTATGTAATTTTTCTTATTATAAATATAATTTGTATCAAATATGAAATAAGGAAGTGGATGTATTATATGCACTCTAGGAAGAGAAAGCAATCAGTAATTCCATTTGCCTCTTTTTTTAGCTCTACTGGTCAGAGGCCAGAAGAGCTTATGCGATAGTAAGGTGTCCGTCGTCCGTCCGTCTGTCTGTCTGTCCGTCTGTCTGTAAACAATTTTTCAAAACGCTACTCCTCCTACAGTTTTGGTCCGATTTCAATATAACTTGGCACACAAGTAGACTACACTAAGATACATAATATAGTGCATCGGTTTTTGATTTCGATGGACGGTGTTGCCATGGTTACTAAAAATAGAAATTTCTGTGAAATTCCTTTAAAACGCTACTCCTCCTACAGTTTTGGTCCGATTTCAATATAACTTGGCACACAAGTAGACTACACTAAGATACATAATTTAGTGCATGGGTTTTTGATTTCAATGGACGGTGTTGCCATGGTTACTAAAAATAGAAATTTCTGTGAAATTCCTTTAAAACGCTACTCCTCCTACAGTTATGGTCTGATTTCAATATAACTTGGCACACAAGTAGACTACTCTAAGATACATAATTTAGTGCATGGGTTTTTGATTTCGATGGACGGTGTTGCCATGGTTACTAAAAATAGAAATTTCTGTGAAATTCCTTTAAAACGCTACTCCTCCTACAGTTTTGGTCCGATTTCAATATCTTGGCACACAAGTAGACTACACTAAGATACATAATTTAGTGCATCGGTTTTTGATTTCTATGAACGGTGTTGCCATGGTTACTAAAAATAGAAATTTCTGTGAAATTCCTTTAAAACGCTACTCCTCCTACAGTTTTGTCCGATTTCAATATAACTTGGCACACAAGTAAACTACACTAAGATACATAATTTAGTGCATGGGTTTTTGATTTCGATGGACGGTGTTGCCATGGTTACTAAAAATAGAAATTTCTGTGAAATTTCTTTAAAACGCTACTCCTCCTACAGTTTTGGTCCGATTTCAATATAACTTGGCACACAAGTAGACTACACTAAGATGCATAATTTATTGCATCGGTTTTTGAATTCAATGGACGGTGTTGCCATGGTTACTAAAAATAGAAATTTCTGTGAAATTCCTTTAAAACACTACTCCTGCTACAGTTTTAGTCTGCTTCTAATATAATTAGGCATACAAGAAGACTATACTAAGATACATAATTTATTGCATTGGTTTTTGAATTCGATGAACAGTGTTGCCATGGTTACTTAAAATAGAAATTTCTGTGAAATTCCTTTAATACGTTACTCCTCCTACAATTTTGGTCTGATTTCAATCTAATTTGGCACACAGTTAGAATACACTACGATACATAATATGTATTTCTGTTTTTTTTATTTGGGTGAATGGTGTTGTCATGGTTACTAAAAATAGAAATTTCTGTGAAATACTTTCAAAACGCTACTACTCCTAGTTTTCATTTGATTTCAATATAACTTGTCACAAAAGTAGACTACATTAAGATACATAATTCTATTTATTGTTGCATGTTGCAATGTTTCAAATCCAAGTGCTACTTTTCTTTTGTTATACAAACAGACCAGTAGAGCTACAGTCTCATCAGAGACTTCTGGTTTCAAAAATACTGATGATGATGAATAATACATTGGTATCAGATTGCTGGTGCATCAAAATTTGTACCGTATAAGATTTACATTGCTTTATTGTTGTTAGAGAGAAAGGGCCACAATTATCGATCGTCATTCTATTGATTCTCTTTCAGAGTGTAAACTTCATTTACAAACAATGAATATATTTTAGTTCACTCTTTGAAACAGAAAGTATTTTACCAAATGACAAAAGTGACAACAATGATTTCATCTACAAAGAAAATACAATACCAATATCAAAAAATTGTTTCGAAAGCACGTGAATGTTGAGTGTCCATTTGCTGTAACATTTATTTGGAAAAAGTTTATGTACTATATTCTAATGAACAGATATAAAAACGTAATATTTCGGGTTTGTACCCACTTTTGGGTTAGTATTGATATGTCTTGCACCAACGCCAGAGCTGAGGGTTAAATTGTTTCATGATAAAATGCAGTATATCATCTACAACTTATCATACGTGCAAACCCATTGGGTTTTGTCGTGGATGCAACATTGCACACTAACATTAGACTACATGTATGACTTATGCGAGACTATACAAGACTTACGCGACTTCACAGGAACCATCGGACTTGGGTCTTAAGTTTTCCGTACCTTGTCCTTTCAAATTCTTCCAAAAGCATAAATAAAATACACCTGGCTTACTTCTAGATAAATCCAGCTTTATTTCGTATACACATTAAAGGCAAGAGTTTTTTTACAAGGCGGTAAATTCCAGGTGAGTGAGGGGCTTATTTTGAACAGGTATGAATGCCTTGAGGGCTAGCAGTCTACTTGCAGTCGTTTTTCTCCTAATCCTAATACAAAGGAAGTGATTTAATACACAGTAGAGTACCCAGGAAGTCAGATTTACCTGTGTTGGGATTTTGAGATGATTTTAAAATAGAAATAACTAGAGCAAAGCGCGTTGCAAAGCAACGAGTAGGTCTTCCGACGGACGTCGAAAGTAGTATATTAAGAGTTTTTTTTCCTCATAATGATGAAATTTAGGCGAGTTTCTATAAAATGGACCAAAAAATCATTTTTTCAAAAACGGCTTTCACTTCGGACTTTTCCTGCCGTTAGGACGTCACTTCCGGTTGACGTCGAAAGTCTCAAAGCCATTAAAAAAAAAAACCTATAAACTCGATGATTTTATATTTTTAATGCTTTAAAACGAATAGCTTTAATTTTCGACTCCTTCCGGTTTAAACCGGAAGTACATTCAATGGATGGTTTTTGTTGTTGCTAGCGCTCTCGAGCGCTAGCAACTACGTTAGTCTATATTTCTGAAATACGCATGCTCGACTTAACGGTCGGGGATTCTGGGAAAACAACTGTGGATAGACTGTACGATAACAATTTCGTTTTGTCATACAAAATTAGAAAGGATCCAAATTTACACTAGCCTTTCCTGTCTGATATGCGCGATATACATTTCGTAGGTTAGAGACAGTAAATACCAGTCTAGATCCGGATTCTGAATTTTTTTTTTAATTTATTGTCTAACCTACACATAAAAGTACAAGAAAAAATTTGGCCATATAATGCCAAGATTCTAGACATCTAGCTTTCCTTACAATTTTACCACCTTAGTGGATAATTCTGGCAAGCTCGGAAAAAACAACAACAAAAATCTTTTTCAGAGTATGTCGGAAAGACATGTAATTTAGTGTTTATCATCTGAAAATACATATGATCTGAAGTTTCGTGTTTTGTTGTCCAACCTGCACGTAAATGAACAAAAAGTAACAGTAACTCGGGTCTTATAAAACCAAGACTGTTATTTCTTAAGTTGTAATGAATACAAGCTTTTCTAATCTACCTTCATGGATCTTTCCGGCAAGCTCGGAAAACCGCGGCAACCTCGGATACGTTTTCCGAGCTTGCCGGAAAGGCCCGAAGGTGTTCATTGGTTCTGCTCACCTCGAAATTGAAATTACAGTAAAATGCAGAATGCTTAAAGCACAGTTAGGAGTTATGCCATTGCCGACGTGAAGCACACTCTTAGATTCACCATTCTGAATTGTGACCCCCCCCCCCCCCAACTCAACCCCCAGTGCACCAATCTGCCTTCCTATTAATAATTAATCGATTCAGCAAATTTAACAAATGTTTCAGATATCTTCTTCTGTATTTTATTATGCTACAGCGCTAGCTCACCAATCTTTTTAAAAGATAAGCCAGTCGATTATACATTTGAACTTAAGTTCTATATGCCTTTACTCAGAACTGTTAATTTTTTTTTAATAAAAAACGTAAATTTAATATCATTTCCGTTGTCGACCGGTAGTGCAAAAGCAAAATGCGTAATACACAACTCAAAGAGATGTTCTATCATCTCTTAAAAAATCATGATTCTATCTTGAGTCGTTTTTAAGAAGAAGCGTGGACAAAATGACAATTTGAAAAATGGAAATCGAACAAAAAATGCGACCGGAAGTGATTTTTAAAAAAATGAATAAACGATCTGGAGATATTATAATGATGCATCAATCCTGAAAAAATCTTTGAAATTGGTCGATTAGTTCCCTAGAAATCGCGTGTACTATGAAAAGGGAATAATAATAATAATAATAGGAAACAGAAGAAAAACAGTAAGGTCTTCCGAAGGGAGTCGAAAGACCTTAAAAAAGTTGTGAATGAAGTTTAATCTCAATAATTTTTATAAATTTGTAATTGAATGTGTGTCAAAGTATTCCCACCAATTAAAAAACAATATTATTATTCAAAGTATTTGTTGAACTTCGAAAAAAAAGTTATATCAAACTTTCATATATATTATCATAAAGAATATAATTATTTCAAATATTCAAGGTGTGTATGTACATATATTATCAAGCTTAAAATTCCATAGTAATACAGATTCTCTACTGTTTATACCATGTGTGGTAAATATCAAAGAATCAAAAGTTAATTTGAAGGACACCACGAGTGTCAAACAAGGTGTACAGGGTATACACACGGACTAGTAAGTAAATGTCAATCAAGTTCTAGCACCCAATGATGTACTTTAACGCACTTGATTGACAGGGGTACACAAACCAGGTAATTTTGAAGGCGGTGCTTAAAATCTCTGCCTTTAAGCACAATTTATAACATCTGTTCACCAGATTCATTTTTTTGATGAATTCTTTCGTAGGTATTTTCTTTGCTTACGTCTTCAAGCTCCGCATACTGGGAGTCAAACCTGTTTTAAAGAAAAGAGTAAATAGTAAACAGTTGAAAGTCGCATTTTAAATCATTACTGTTTATGAAAATTTCAGGTTGATTAAGAAAGAAAATTTATACGCACGTATCTTCGCTGTTAAGATTCCCTACAAAAAATAGAATTCAAATACATTGTAATTAAACAACGCATCTTATACTGTATGACCTTTCATAAATTTAAATCTATTGTTTCGTGCGTTTAATACATAGTTTTGAAATTGTAATAAATATATTTTATTGATTCAGATATTGAAAAAGAAAATGGTAGGAATGATGATTTTTAGCAGAATGCAAGAAGGCCTCTAGCCAATTTAGTCACGATGGCCTTGCTATTTTTTTGAGAAAAAGGGTTTATTTCCTCTATATGCAATGAAAAAATCTGAACCCATATAATGGTCCATAATTGCTCCTTTTTCAAAACAAGAGGATACTTCATTTAAATAAAAATAAAATAGGAACCTCTGAGTTTTAAACGTTTGTTCTTTCTATATGTTTTGGCCCTAAGCTTCCTTTAGAGCCATAACTTTAAGAGAGAAAAATGAAAGTACTTTCACAACGTCTTTGAATTGTTCTAGACAGGAAACTATTGAAAAGTTTTTAAAATATATTTCCTTGTATAATTTTCATCTTCTTTGTGGCCAATCCTTCACCTAGAGAGAGGAATGGCCTTAACTGATAATGTTTGATGAGTTTGCATAATAATATGACATCATAATCCGGCTTTTCTTGAGAAAAAAAATTTCAAAGATCTTATGCTATACTTTTTCTCGTAAAACTGTCATCCCCGATTGTGATAGCACTCTACTCCCAAGGGTCATTATTTCAACAAACTTGAATTTTTACTAATGTCAAAAGTATCGTCTTTTCTTGGCCTGTTTGTTCACTAAAAGATGGAATTTACAAGATGTCAAAATTTTATTACTATATATTGTAAATCTCCTTGGAATTACCTTATCCCAAAATATTTTGTGTCAAGATTAGTTGAAAAAGCCGTGTGTTCTTAATAGAAAATATGAAAAGTTTCCATACTAAAGATGACAGACGACAAACAACATACCGACGCCAGACATCCTTCAATCACAAACACCCAGTTAAGCCTTTGGCTCAGGTATGCTAGAAAGGAGTTTTACCTGCATAATTGTCATCTAAGGTTTGTTTTTTCTGATGAACATTTTGTCTGGAAGAGTAAACAATACTCGTATGAGCTAAATATTAGAAGTTTGCATTATTAGAAAACTGGATGTGTCGTAACGCCAGGAATCCCTCCGCAGTCAGTCAAAATTGCAAATTGCACATTTCTAGCTGAAATAATGATTAGAAATTGTGAATATTTCAATCTTTTTCAAGTTCATGGGGGATAACTCTCAAAAGTTGTCATTGGACCAGGACCAAATTCGAACTTGACATGTATTTTCTGGTAAAATACCTGCATATGCAATTTTTAACCTTATACATCATACATCCCTACAAAAGTTAGAGAGCGGAAACTAAAAATTTCTTATTTTGTCCAAGTTCAAGAGGGATAACTGTCAAAAATCATCGAACCACGACTAAAATCAAACTTGACCTGAATTTTTAGTAATTTACCTGCATATGCTATTCCAACTTAAAATACATCCTTACAAAAGTAAGAGAGCGGAAACTGAAATTTTCTAAATTTTTTTTCTTAATTCAAGAGGGATAACTCTGTCAAAAATCAACGGAACACGACTAAATTCGAACTAAACCTGTATTTTCTAATAAAATTCCTGCACATGCAATTTCAACCCTATGCATACATCTTCACCAAAGTCAGAGAGCAAAAACATAATTTCTTATTTTGTTCCAAGTTAAAGAGGGATAACTATGTCAAAAATCATCGGACCACAGACAAATTCGAACCTGTCCTGATTTTCTGGAAATATACTTGCATATGCAATTTCAATCTTATAAATACATCTCCACAAACTTAGACAGCGGAAACTGCTGATTTTTTCTAAGCACATGAGGGATAACTCTGTCATAAATCATCTAACCATGAACATATTCGAACTTGACTTGCTTATTCCTATTACGTATCCATATGTCAAATTTGAGTTGAATGTGTGCAATTGTTGCCGAGATCAAGAACGGAAAGTCAATGATAACGAAATGACAGAATGACGGAACAGGGTAACACTTTATGCCCCCGGTCATTATATGGCGGGAGCAAAAAAAGAACGTATTTATTTAAATTTAATAATTCAAATGTCTATGTACATTCTCGTCATCTATTGGCGGTTAGAATTGTCACCTAGTTAGATGACATTATTATACCTCTACTGGTATTTTCCCTATATAACATAAGATCGTAAGATGTGACTAATTCCCTATAAATCTTTATGAATGGACTAATCCCCGTACGTTAGTCAAGTGAGCTAATCCCTGCTTCAAAAGCTAATTCCCGGTTATCCGTAATCCTCTAGATTTTACTTTTACATTGGTATGATATATAAATGGACTAATCTCCGTGTGTTAGTTCAGTGAGCTAATCCCTGCTTTAAAATCACACTATCTGAATCCTCTAAATTTTACGTTTGTATCAGTATAATAAAACAGTTAAAAGTTTATCATTGAGGGAGTTAGCAAGATTCCAGTTCGTCTCGAGAAAAAGTCCTGGCCTTGGGGAACTGGAATCTTGCTAACTCCCTCAATGATATACTTTAACTGTATATTAATATTCATAGCAGGGGCTATTAGTGACCGTGAAAGATGGGTGTACAGGGAAAGCCATTGGTAGGCTCTGTCTCGTTCAGTCCTGTAAGTCCCATCCGCTTATTGCTATCTCCTGAATATTGTAGATTTATACATTGTATTAAATTTATTATTTTCTTTTTTGAGATCTTGGAGAGATATGAAAATGGTCATCTGAAAAAAGACAATGATATGTGTAACAATTTTATGAATTAAACTTCACTTTCACAGCCCTTCACATCCTACTTCAAAAGTTTGTGTTTCTTTCATAAATGTTTTATGTTCGTTGGCGTAAAACGAATTAGAACATAAATATTGTGTCAGTGTAGGATATAAATGTTTCAACAATGAAAAAAAAAAAACAATTCTGTGCCCATATTAACAAAAGCTATTTACCTTTTTTCCGTATTCTTTGCTATAAAGAGAAAAAAACATACACATATATGTTGAATAACGTACGTTTTTATAGTATATATTCCTTGATTTATTGATAATTCTCAGAATCTTTTCAGATAAAACCTTTTTTTTATCAGGAAGGTAGGAATATAATATGAAGATTGCATTAGAATGTTTTTTTCCAATATTTGTTTCATTAATCGCATTTTGAAAAACATGACACTCCTAAATCAAACATTTAGCTTCCTGAGAATTTGCATTTTTTCTGCTAAACTGACTAAAAAATTCAAATAGAAATTTAGACATTTTCAAGATCTTTTACATAAGACAATCTAAATGCTATGGAAAATTACTTTTATTATATGTTTATGGCTTAAAACGTCGCTCTTTAACTCTATTTTACAAATAATTCAGTTTTTAAAATAAACTCATTCCATATATCAAAATGATCAGTTTGTTTTTCAGCTGTGCTCATACACGATTCCATTGTACATGTAAAACGTCAATGATGTCACAGTGCATTTTGCGTGTTAAAAGTTCCACTATTCAATTACATATCTCTATTTAACGGTTAACCGTACCTTATAATGTCCAAAATAAAAATGTAGTGATAATATCCAGCTTTCAGATTTTGGCATTCATTTTTATTGTATCGAGTGTTGTAATTAAGATATCACCATGAGAAGATAGCACAAAATCAGTCATTCAAGCATAATTTTATCAACTTCCTGCAAGGACATGCATTATTCACTTCCAAGTTTACAGTAATTTCTTAACATCGCACAGAAAAAAAACCAACTTTGATTTGAAAAAAATAATAAGTTTCTTCTCTAGTTTCAGAAAATATCATTTGTTTTGTTGTATCCAAGTTATATACAAAACGCCAGCAATTTCAATATATGAAATGCTGCAAAGGCGTCACTGGGCGTTTAAGGGTTAAATATTACCTTATAAATATGTCAGATTTATAACCAAATTTATAACACCTGCAATCTGCATAGATTTCCTGCATTTCTCTTTCTTACTTTGACTCCTCTTCCAGAAAATAATGTTTATGGCACTTCCAATGGCAACAATGCTAAACGCAGCAACTAGGCTCGCTATGGTCAAGGTGTTGTCACATGCATCAGTGATGGTTGAGGTGTCTTCTGGTGCTAAAAATGACGTCATAAATTAGAAGAGCACTATGACCACACTCTAAGTTAGTAATCATCAGTACATAACATTCAACTGTACCGCCTTAAACAATAGCGCTTATAGCTAGCCTTTACTATAGCCTGATAATGCACATTAATACTTAATTTGAAACTTAAATTATCCACTTTTTTAAACTATAAACCATTTATTTATTAGCTATCTTTTTGACGATTAGAGAATAAAAGTATCTCACTTTTTAAGATTATTGATGGTTTTATCGGAAAAAATTCACCGCATTTAAACGTAATCAATCCCATTTATATAAAAATTGTATCTTTAGATAATTCAAATTAAAGATATTTGATATTTGAATTTCATTCGCAGCACAGTAAAGACTTTAAAAAGAGACCGTTAACTTGGATATAATGCCTGCTTTATGACTTTTTTCATCTATATTTACCGTATATTCCCTAATCAAGTTACATTGCCGTATATTTGTATGCAGATTCATTTGAGGATAATGGAAGAAGTTATAACATATTTTAAAAGTGCTGTGAACCTGATGAAATCTTGCAAATAAATAAATTATTCGTGTTATGTATTGTAGCTGGTCAGCAAAATATTCAAAATGCGGTATAAAAATGTAATTTTGTCAACCAAATAGTACAATGTATATAGTTTCGCAATACTTTTCACACAACAATAAGTGTTTAAAAACAAGTGTTGAACATATTCATGAATATATACTGATACGCAAAAGACACGCAACATCATATTTTAGGGAGAAATATTACATATAGGATATAATTTTGTATCTGAAAGGTAAGGACATCTTCATCTTTGTAATTATAGTTAATTTAACGTTTGAATGATTTTCATACCATTACCGGAAGTTAAGTTGGAGTCCGCTTAACAGAAATCAAAAATTGCATGTCTTACAAAACATTAGGCAAATATATGGGGGTGTAAGGATTTGTGTCCGTTCATCACAAGTTATGCAGCAATGTTCCGAAAAATAAATTCCCCTTTCTTTTTCGTAAGCGATGCCAAGGCTTCATGAAAATGACTTAAGTACGCATTTCCATTGCTCTAGCTGGAAAATCTCAAAATAAAGGTGATGGAGGGTTGCAGATGCCTCAACAGGCTCTTGCGTATCATAAGCATGAATAGTTCTTGGACCGGAAGTCCACGAGACACTGCACTGCGCTTGGCTAGATAAAATTCGACCTCATCATCTGAAAAAACAGGCATTTAAAAATGGCAAAGAATATGTCTTTCACTCAGATCTCGAGATTGATGAACCTATTGCATCGTAGAAATCAAGCTGCAACTGTTGTGTATGGCAGTCTTGCACGCTGTAATTGAATGGCCGGGATGGGGGTGTTTTAACAGTCATGTGTTACTTTCTAAAATTTAAAAGATAATCATATAACATTTTGATCACATCTATAATGTATTTAAATCGAGTTTTACCGTTGTGTATTCATTTTTGCAAATCATTAGATAAAAAATTTAAATATTTGTAGATAACTGCTTGTTGCGTTTCTTTTGCGTTCCAGTATATAAAGAAATATATAGATGTCATAAATACTGAAAATATATTTGCTAAGACTGCCACATCACGTTACAAATCTAAAAAAATATATACAAACTTCTTAAAAATGTAGTTTTAACCACATTACATTTGTCATATATAAGAGAATCGCTCATCTTTGTACAAGACGTATTTTTTTAAAATCGGTAATATTTCCTTTGGGAATCTTAATTGCGCTTCGTTGTTAAAAATACGAATAACTTATTTAAACGTTAACTTCCTTTTACTATTTTAAATACCTTGATCTACTAAAGTGCACTAAAGTTTTCTAAAATACATCCTTATTGCTCAAGTCTTTGTTTTACTTAATTTATTTGCCTTTTAATATGAAATATTAGTATTTTTCCATTAATTGATACTTCTGTAACCTGAAGGGATTTTTTTTTTGAAATCTTGTAAAATATTTACAGTTACCTTGGCTACAAAGAGGTCCAATCCACCCTTCCTTACACCCGCTGTGACATATCCCAGTGACCGGGTCACAGGTTTCGTTTCCACCGCAATACACCTTACAGTTGCTGTGACAATTACTGCCAAATGATCCATCTGGACATCCTAGTCAATGAATAAATATTTGTAAATATTTGTTAAGTATAAACTCGGAATTTATCTTCTTTTAATGTACATTTCATGTTTACTCCCCTTATATCACTATGCTAATCAGATGGGCTCTCTCTCTCTGGATTACTTATATCTTCTGGATATCTCAAGTAATAAATTTTGATGTACAACGATAGACACCAACTTCAGAAAAAAAATAATGCCAACAAATACAAGAAAACTTTGAAATCGAACACATGACTTATTCAATTGTAACAGTCGCCCGCTGGGTGCAGTGGTTAGAGCGTTAGCTCTAGAGGAGTTCATCTTTACGTCGCCGGTTCGAATCCCACTGAGGGACGTGGGGACCGGTCCTTCTGATGAGACCATATAAACCGATGTCCCGTGTCTCAGTAGGCGCTGGCCTGGAAATTATCCCTCACTGCTCAATGTGCCAAGTATAAGTCTAAAATTTGCAGTCCTCCACCGGAATTATGAGTAAAAAATTCTCGAAAGGGAAACAAACAATTTCAACAAATGAAAACCGTTTTTGTGTTACTTTCACAAATGCCTACACCGAATAATTTTGATCGCAGGAAAGCTTATCTCACCATTCATACAGAGCAATCCCTCGTATCCAGGGGCGCACCCTTCTAAACATGTACCATTGATATGGTGACACTGTGTATCGTTAAGGCAATGGCCACATCTTCGATTGCAGTCAACACCATACATACCACCATCACATTCTAAATAAAATAAATTAATTTTATTTTCTGTCTCTCTTTTTGCAAAGAAAATGTCAAATAACTAATATCCTTTAAAACAACATTTTTGTTAATCATCTTTCTTTTTACAACGGTCGCCCGCTTGGCGCAGTGGTTAGAGCGTCTGCTCTAGAGTCGCGGAGTAAGGAGTTGATTTTAACGTCGCGGGTTCGAATCCCACTGCGGGACGTGGAGACCGGTCCTTCGGATGAGACCGTTTAAACCGAGGTCCCGTGTCGCAGTAGGTGCTGGCACGAAAAAGATCCCTCACTGCTCAATGGCCCTAAGTGCCGAGTATACGTCAAAATTTGTAGCCCTCCACCGGCAAGTGATGGCGTCTCCATATGAGTGACAAATTCTCGAGAGGTACGTTAAACAACAAACAAAAAATTCTTTTTGCAAAGAAATGTTAAATAACTGGTATTCTTTGAAACAAGGAGATATGTATGTGCAACTGATGTTGGGATATTACTACATAAATAAGGAAATATGACGATGCAAAAGCCGACGTCATCTCGTTTGTCATACAATTTAGTTGTTAGATTGCCTTTATCGTCTATAGTTAGTAAAAAAAAGAATAATAGTTTAGTATAAAAACATGCATTTTGTTACTATGAAACCTATACTATTAAAAAAAGGTAATTTTAGTATATATTTTTTTTCTGGTATATTAGCTTTGTTTGATGCTTTTTTTTCGGGGGGGGGGGGGGGGGGGTGGTTATTCTTTACTATCCATATGGCCGCAATAAAACATACTTTCATCACATCGAACCCCCTTCCACCCCATTCTGCATCCTCCGTCACACTTCCCTGTGAATCTGTTACATTGATTGGTCACTCCACAGTTCTCGCTGCATACATGTCTACAATCACGTCCGTAATAACCAGGTTGGCAGGCTGAGAAAGGAAGGTATAGATTTGTAATTTGTTAACACAGTTTAGGTAATTTCGCATGATTCGACAGAAACATTGTTTCATTCAAGAGATAGGCTGAATACACAGGACTTTTTTAGGATTAGAGTATTGAATTTCATTGAAATTTATATTTCTAGGACATATATTGTGTAAATTTAAAAAGGCTAACCATTCTGACACTTATCCCCCTCCACACCATCATTACATCCATTGAGGCATGTCCCGTTCACATGGTGACAGGTGTCCCCATTTCTACAGTACCCACAAGAAGAAGAGCACCCTAGTCCATAATGAAGTTCATTACAGGCTGAAATAAAAACTTTCTTATAGTACAAGAAATATTGTAACAGTATACAGTCAAATAAAAAAGTAACAGACTTTATTTTTAAAAAATCCATCACACATCTTGACTCTCTAAAGATTACTTAAGCCCCTAATACATACTCTGACTACAGCGGGGACCTTGATAACCAGGTACACATCCCAGACATTCACCTGTTATGACGTCACACTTACGCTCCTGGCAATTATCAGGACATGATATGTTGCAATTTGCACCATAATATGAATAGTTAGCACATCCTGTTTATAATACAAAAAAAGCTATTTAAACCTTTTCTATTATAATATTTCGCATAACTCAATTCAAAGGGTTTTTTTTTTAATATGAAGTTTTTCATGCTCACCATAAACTTTTAATTCACACAATTCGTTAAATGCATATTTTGAATAGTAAATGGGATACATCACATCCGGTCTCCGTTCATTGTAGTATATAACATATCGTCCCTGAACAGAACAGTTAATCCTCTGGTCCTCCGTAGGTGTGCCGTTTACAGTTTGTATTTCATGTAAACATAGATGGCCGTCGTCTTTTGACGTTGTGTTTGAAACGTAAAGAAAAAATCCTGCAAATCGATGAAACCAACGACCGGGACCTGAAAATATAAATTAAGTGACTATATAAGCTTTCCAACAAAAAAAAAACTTTAAAACTTTCCTACAAAAATACATTTATATGCAGAAGGAAAATTCATAGATGTTGGAGCTTAATACTTCCTTCGGTGTTAAGGAATTTTTTTACACAAAATTTAAAGTCAGACACTTGCCTGATATTAATTAGTTGTTACTATTATAATACCATGTATTTACGTATAAAGAAATATGAAATATCTAAATGCTCTAAATGCACTTTTTAGCTTACTCAAACGTAAAGAAGTATGCCTAGCTGCGGCTTATCATTCTAGCTAAGTGTAGAAAGTACAGGAAGCTTATGCAGACCCTTCCATCTTTTGTTAGTCTACCCCGACATGTATGTCCAGGGCTGATAGTGTCCATTCTGTCACTCTGCGTTGACATCTATTCATTATCGGCCGCAGCAGCGGCCGATCTATTTGTGGTTGTTTTAGAATGTGCTCATGGGGAAATGAGACGTTATTTATTTATTTATTTATTTTGGTTCGAGGGAAGAATTCCTTATTGATAACAAACATGAGTTACAAATACAAACCTTAAAAAGTCTAAATATTTTGTTATGATGTTTCAATTTGTTTTTCCATTTCTCGCAGGTATTTATTAATTTAATGATTTTATAAAAAGTTGTATCATAAACTGCTCCCTAACATGGGCGTGCTTAAGATATAAACAGAAAACGTATTGCGTTTCCGGATATGAATTACAGTGCCTAAAGTAATAAATTGGAATAAGAACTGAATTTTGTTTTGAATTTACACTGCAGTTGCAAGTGACACAATGAAATTTTTTCTGCAGTTCACATACATATCTATCACAACACTGATCGGTATTATAGAGTGACAAAAATCCAGGGTATCAGCACGTGAAGCTTGTGTCCTTTTTGTCAGCATTCAGACATTCATAATTATTTTAGAAATTTGTTTCATTTGTCCTTGAATCAAATAATATGATGATATAATACATTCCTATCCTTTATTGCAGTCCGATTTCCATATTAATGAATTTATTTTTACTTGAATAAATATTTTAACAATTGATCACTGAAGACTAGTGTAAAAATGCACAGAGAAGTAAAGCAAGTTTAAAAATGTATCATATACTTTTTCTATTTGGATATTTACTTTAGACTCTTTCTTGTGGAAATCCTTCAAAATTAAAAATATTTTTGCGGCCGATTTGATGCTTTGCATCAATTTATCTTGTCACATTCTAATACAACCTAGTGAGAGGTATATCTTAAATTGGCTACAAGTATGTGTACTGAAGCTTGACCTAATTAGCACCTTTACATGACGATTACCCAATTTTAATTAATCTAGTTAGAAACAAAAACCTGGCTTCACACATACTTGGTATATTGTCCGTCCTGTAATGGATTTCGATATGACTGATACTGACTATACTCCCTAAATCAACTCTCCACGTCGCTGTTTGTTTTTTGTCAGCTGATATTGTACACTGGTTCCCAGCTGCTCCACGGTCAGAATATTGTCCATCCACTGCCTTGGCTGCTCCCCAATCTATAGGTCGAGAAGGCCATTCATACTCCTGATACGCAGGTTTCAACAGGGCTAAATTTTCTTTAAATACGAAAGGGAAAAAAAGTATGATAAGAATGTGACATTCAGTGAGAAAAATTCAGAGAGCACAGATAATAAAATGCTTGAAATGCACAGCAATACCGCGTCTCAGATCAAATCAAAAAGAAATCATTTATGGAAGGGAATCAAAATAATCTCAGCTCAAAAAGGACTCATTCATTTATAAAAGGGAATCAAAATTATCTGAGATGAAAAAGGAATAATTCATTAAAGAAAGGGGGAACTAATATATAAGAACAAGTTCCTTCAATGATCACATTAAGACAAGGCCTAAAATTTCCTGTATCATTTCCCAAAAAATCGAGGGTCGGTAGGTCGGTATATATATTTTTTTTGACTAATGCATATAGGGTCTAACACCCCCGGACTGAATTAACCAGGTGTGATATTTACAGTGGACACCCAACATGGCTGTCTAGCGGCAGAAAACGAACTTCAGAAAGTTGTGAGGGAAATGCTTAATATTACAATAATGATTATTCTTTATATATAAGGTAAATAATGACTAAGTTGCCGTAATTAATGTCTCATTTAGCTTCAATTAACCTTTCGTGTATGAATTAAAATCAGCTGATTGATCACGGATTTGGCAGGGAAAAAAACACACCCGGGATTATTTGAATGGGTCGGTCGGGCTACAGGAAACAAACATAATTTTTAGGCCACGTTAAGTAGCTTTGATCATTCCTACTCTATTAGAAAGCTTTAGGGGGTTATCATTTGATTCTGAAAGGGGGGCTGGCATTTTTTTTAGAGTAATATTATTTATTTTCATGCCACTCAAGGGCAGATTAATTTCAGATAATTTCTTTTTTTTCTCCACTGAAAAAAAAAAAGATTGTCAAGCGAAAAAAAGGAAAACGCCTCAATTCCAAAACCTTATTTCGTTGGGGGGGGGGGGGGGTTGTTGCACCAATTAAAGAAAAATTTATTTATTTGCCAGACTTTAAACAAATTGAGGAAAGATTGTTCTAAGATTATATTAATGGCCGTCCCCTAAAATCACACAAAAATGAACACTTCCGAGTTCAACAGGCAGAAAAAGACAATGTAGTTACAACTGTATTTGTTTGGGAGGAAAGGAATAGCATAGTAAAATTTAAGATAACATAATTTTTTTAAGAGTGTTGAAGTGGGTGATTTAGACTTGTCAAAGTTCAGTCATGGATATATAGTATGATAGATGGAAAACATGAAGAAAATATGCGTCATTTTCACGATGAAATATATGGAGATAACGAACAGTATTCAAGCTCAAAAGTCCATTAAACAATACAAAGTAGGAGCAAAGCAAACACGGACCTCCAAACATCAGATGTGGGATCAGGTGCCATGGAGGAGTGAGCATCCCCTGCCGACCGGTCACATCCATCGTGTGCTCCTTGTCATGATCGGGAAATAACGGAAAAATCCATCGACAATTTAGTGTGTAAATAATGGCCTAACAATTAGTATGAAAAACGTCAGTCAGCATTTGACTCAATGATAAATTGTATTTGCTGACAAGGTCATTGTATCGACCATAGAACTTACGAAATTATGACTTTAAACGAGAAAGCTAATATTCTTGTTTCATCAACTTGTCAATAATTAACCTCGTTTTAGAAATTGTACATACATAGAGCATGCTCTTGCGTATCGAATCAACTGAGAGATACATACCATGATCAGTATATATAATTATGACGTCATTGTAGGAGTTACATAACTTTGCTACGTCATAATACTGTTATATTTACCCGATGTTCTCAATGATAAGAACATGAACTTCAGTTAAAGGCTACACATTTCATTTTACAATATTCAGAATTTGTCAGATGTCCCTTTTACAAATAAAATTGTCATTCAAAGGTTTACATCGCCTCTGAGGAAAAACGTTCTCAAACATAACTAGAGCTGTCCAAAATGGACAAATATCCCCAGGGTTTTTTTAAAAGGTGTCAAGTTAGTAATACTAGTATTTGATGGATCTAAGAGGTGATCGCAATTTGTTTAAACATTTAGAGTGAAAATTTACCGGTGATGCTCGTTAAATTTTTTAAAGAATGAAACTAAGGCGCACATTGAAAAAATAACAATTTTTCAAGAATTAGAATGGTTGCATTATTTATCCATTTCTCTACAGTGACAATAGGTCATCGTCATAACACACCCTCAGATGTGTGAAGTGGAAACTCCCAGCATTATTCTCCATCAAAAAGATACGAACCGGACAAGAATTGTGTATTTTTTTTCTGTCAGTGACCTTGAACAAATGACCTTGCTTCAAGGTCATGGCACACCCTCAGGTCATAAACAATCTGTGTAAATAGGAACTCAACAAGCTTATCAATAAGAAATATATGGACCGGACACGAATAATGAATTTTTTTGTTATTGACCTTGAACTTGCGCAAATGACCTTGGGTCAAGGTCGTGACATACCCTCGGGTCATCAACAAACTTTGTGTGAAGTAGTGGATTCTAATGTTCTTCCGTTAAAAAGATATGGATCGGACATGTTTGCACAGACAGACGGACACGGTAATTCCTATACACCCCCGAAACTTCGTTTGCCGGGGGGATAACTAACTAGAGAAAAAAAGTAGGTTTAGAAATTTCAAACTCACCGTATGCTTGCGTAAATATAGCCAGCAGTAAAATCCGTGCAGTGAGAAAAATCATTATACTGTCTCACAATGAAAAAAAAAATGGAAAATTATAATTATGGATATCAAAGTCTGAATGTGTGAAAACAAACAAATGTTAAACTAAGATTGTGTAAGATAAATATGGGTAAATATATCCTTCATGAGGTAATTCTAAAGTATTGGTTGTAAGGTTTTTTATACTCTATTAGAAGGCCCATTTTACTACTTCTGACATAAATGACTACTGTTCTACAACTGTTATCCATAAGTCAGTCGGTAAAGCACTCGCTCCTTGATCGGAAGGTCATGGGTTCAAACTGATCTAGGTCGATGAAAAATAGGTAACAACTGTTCCTTTCGCCAAGCGCTCGACACTTTGGAGTGAAAGTTGCGGGTCCTTCGGATGAAACCATAAAGGCCCCATGTCACAAAAGGCGCTGGCACGATAAAGATTCCTCATTGCTCCACTGATCTCAAGTGCCGAGTATAGGTCTAAATTTGAACCCTTTCGCCTCTATATATGGCTGAAAAATTCTCAACGAGACGTAAAACTTATTCAAACAATCGAGGGATATTCTCTTGCTATTGTCAATCAAGCAGAAGTATATATTGGACCTTTCATTTCATTTATTCTCCTTGTCATTTAAATCCTATAAAGACATTTAATTATCAGAAGTGAATACCAAGCGTATGGGGCATTGACAGCTGTATTTCATCAGAATTATTACCTATTATTTTAGTGCGCAGCATATTTAGGCGAATTTAACCTTTATTTAAGGGAAATTAACCTTTGCCTAGAACAAAGAATTTTTCGGAACAAACATAGGTATAAATAGCATATTTTTGAGTGGGGTTGACTTTATTGAAACCTAAACGTTGCATTTCATATTAAGATTTTAATAAATATGCACAGATGTGTCAAAGTAACATAGCTTAATCAAATTCGCACATACTACTAATGAAGGAGTATAAAATGAAAACTTACCATGTAGGGTTGTTATATTTTTGCTCAGACTACAATGAGCTGTTTGTGTTATGTGGTAGAACACCAGGAAGTGATTTCTACTGTAGTGTTAACAAATAAGGGCTACTTTATATTGTAATTATATGCGTCTAGTTATGTACATTTATTTTTTTTTTACAAGATGAGAGATTTAATGTGTCGTTTCCCTATTTGAAGTAAGCACTTGATTTGAGTGGGAGTAAGAACAGACACTTGCATATCTGACATGACCAGCCAAAGGTTTATAGGATTATTGCGCTTCATCGAATATACATTAAGAATGGGTATTCTTTTTATGGATTTTATGAGATTTTTTTTATTGTTTACGAGCACCCAAACTTATAAATCGGTCTGTAGCTTCTTATTAGAGGGTGGTTTAGCTAAATCATCACATCCATGAGACAGTTAAGGTTATATAATTAAAAAAAAAAAATTAACGTTTTTAATTGTAGACGAGTATGAATTACAAATTAACACACATTGTTTAGTTCGAATTTCCTAGTCCTCTATTCGTTCGTTATTGCAGGGAAATAAGGGTATTTCACAATGTTCACTACGATATTTTGTCGTTGAGCTTGATTACAGCTAATATTTCTTCATTAGTTAATCCATAAAATATTTTATTAATAATATTTCTATTTAATTCCAATGTGTTTAAGAAGCGAAGTCTTGTACATGTAAGCTATGTCACATAGTATGTAAAATGGATAATACCATTTCTGATTTATGTTAACAGTCAGCCATCTCATGTGATAAAAAGGGTTGTATTGACTGATTCATTTCAAATAAATGTGGATCAGCTTTATGTCCTTCATGAGATGATACTTTCATGGATGGACCAAGATTTATGTTTTCCCTGCTTTTTCCATGCAGTTGTGCAGTTGTGCTTTTCCTACAAAGTAATTATAATAACTAATCCATTGTAATCCATTGTGATATGTCTACATTAACTACCTGCCTCATCTGTTAGCTCTGTTAATGTTTTAAAAAACAGTTCCATCAAGATTTTTTTTCTGAAACCCAAGACTGTATAAAAGCCAAAGACATGGTGACAATTCTTCCTACAGGATATGACAAATCCCTAATAGTTGAGATCTTTCCACTCTTTATGCCCCCGGATCGAAAGATCCCGGGGGTGTATTGTTTTTGTCCGGTCTGCCTGTTTGTCTGTTGTCAACTTTAACCTAGCCCATAACTATTGCGCTGTCAAGGGTAAGGCTTTAATATTTGACATGAGTGTTCATTATGACAAGACCTTTCCTTGGGTACCACCATATAAGACCTTTTGGCCTTGACCTTGGAGTTTGACCCAGTTTTGCAAAATTTTACCAAACTTTAACCTTGGCCATAACTTTGAAGGGTTGGTGCTAGGGCTTTCATACTTCACATGTGTAATCCTTGTGACAAGACCTTTCTTTGGATAACAACAGCTTTGACCTTTGAGTTTCACCTACTTTCGGAAAACTTTAACCTTGGCCGTAACTTTTGAACGATTGGTGCTTCGGCTTTCATATTTCACTTGTGTATTTCTTGCGAGAAGGCCTTTCCTTTGGCACCATTAATTTTGACCTTGACGTTTGACATACTTTTGAAGAAAAAAAACTTGAACCTTTTCCATATGTATTTAATGGTTGCTGATAGGCATTTCATATTTCAGAGTTTTATTCCTCGAGACAAGACCTTTCTTTGGGTATCAGCATATTTGATTTGCATTTGAGAAAGTTTAACCTTTGCTATAAGTTGCCATACGGGGGCATCAGTGTTTCACAAACACATCTTGTTTCTGATTGTGTTTGTGATATGAAATCAATTGTTATTATAATTGCACCTCTAAATGCTATTATTGAACAAGAAGTCTCACTCCTATTTTCATGTTACAATTATCGCCAATTATTCTGAAAGTGCTGTTGCTTTAATTTGGCCCCCTTTGACAACATCCATGTTCCCTACATCTTCCATCAAAGACAGAACACTTGCATATGAAGTAACTCTAAGAACCTGAAGACGGTCAAATACCCGATAGGATAAATATAGAATCAAATTTAAAAAGATATATATGATACTTTACCATTAAATCCTTGAAAGAATTAAGATTGTCATACTGTGATGAACTTAACATGTTTAGTGAAAAGTAATTGATATATCAGTCATGAACAATTAATATCAAGTACCTATATCTTAAAATTATATTTGAATGGTCTTCAATCAATTTCCTTTAAGAAAATTGATTTTTATACAAACCTACAAACCATTAATCATGAGAACAGATAAATGTTGTTATTTGTAAATAAATACAGCATACAGGTATGTAATACAATGCATGTCTAAAATGGTTCATCATTTATTATTCCACTAGGCTATGTATTTCCTTACCAACTCTTCAGTAAGACTTAGCTTCAAATAATCATATTGACTTTTGACACCTTCACTGTACCAAAATTATCTGAAGTAAACAGGTGATAACATCACCATATCACTGAAATGCAGCAATATATACAACATACATCTCAGGAGACATGGCACTATTGTTCAAACCATGTACCTTCTCAAGTTCATCCATTAGTGTGAAAAATTATGTCTTTTATATTTCAAGATACCTAACAGAGAGTAGGGTGCTGTAGACAATTTCTAGTTTAGATTTTACTTGAGAGTGAACGTTACCTTATAAAGAAAATATAACCTTTATAAAGAATTAAAATATCAAATGACAACCTGCATTTCAAATAATCAAGAATTTTATCAGTCCTCCACAATGTTTATTACATATATATTTAGCACAATTGTCCCAAAATAAATCAGACTCTCAGTGGGAATTCCACCAGCTTAATGTCCCTCTCGTGAATTATTCACTCATATGGAGATGCCATCAGTTGCTGGTGGAGGGCTGCAAATTTATACCTATACACAGCACTCATGCAGGACCATTGAGTGATCTTTTTTTATTGCAACACCTGCAATACGATACCTCAGTTTTACTTTATACAGTCTCATCTGAAGGACCAGTCTCCACATCCCGCAGTGGATTCAAACCCGCAACGTACGGATCAGATCCTTACTCTGTGATTCTAGAGCAGATGCTCTAACCACAGCACAATGCGGACGACACCAGCTTTATGAAGTAAAATTTCTAAAAACACCGTTTTCTCTGAAGTCCATGTTTTTCTTTTATTTCCAAGGGACTTTCAAACGAAAGCAGAAATTTTGAATCATATTCTTTGTTTTTATTTAGTAGTATCATAAGTAACTTCAAAATGTTCCTTATGATCAATAATCATGTAATACAATAATATTAAAGTTTTAAAACCTTGCACAAATTTCCTGTTTCTTTGAGCTTGCAGAGAAGTATCTTTGGTAGGGGAACTCATAATTCTGCCCCTCTTCTTTCTTGGAAGCATATTATAGGAGTGAAAAGAGGAGAATCTTTCATTATGTTCCCTAAAAGATATTTTCCCCTTTACCCTTGAATTTATGACATGTGCAACTTCTCAATATTAGTCGAGTAAAAAACCTGATTCATATTTTAAATAACCTACACGTAAATGTTATCAGGAACAACTAGAATTCTTTAAAATATAAGAATTAGACATATGCTTCTAAGGTTTACAATTATGAGGAAATTCGAAATGATTAAATGTAATTTAGAAGTCGTATAAAGGTTGCCAAATCGAAACCCCGAGTTTTTCTCAAAGAATATGATCTGAGTAAATCTTTCTACACATCTGCACAGCTAAGCCATTGTTGTTTCATGATCTATTATCCAAGTTTCAAACTGAGGGTTATATAAACAAACCGGAAAAGGTCGGCAAAAATATAGATAAGAGCTTTTTCAGCCCACAAAAACTCAGCAACTTCATCAAAGCATCCTAATAAACTTACAGCACCACTCTGTTTCTGTTTCTTTTAGTTTGATTGACCATATTCTGAACATATTTGTTGACCATGAAAAACTTACCTGGAGGTCGCCATTTTTAAATGGCTTCGGCTTTTACCCGACCCCAAAACGAAGTGAAAAACGGAGTGGCGGGGGCGAGAACCAGACTAGCTATAACGTTGAAAAATAACGAGGTCATACTAGACCCGAAGAACGCATGTTTGTATGTGATATGGATTTGACAAAGGGGTATAACTAATTCATGGTTTAAACATATTGCCTATAATGTTCGGGTATATTCTTTCATTGAATAAAGGAATCTTGATGTCTCACTACTTCGAACATCGTTTTTCTAGATTATTTATGGCTTTGAGAGAAAGTTTATTTTCTTGCATATGGATTAATGTGCAGGCCTCTATAGATGATTCTATGATGATTTGAAACAAATATATATTTTTTTAGGTCCCTCAATATAAGTAGATCTTTTATCAGGACAAGGTATTAAACAAATGATTGTATAAAATCGTGATAAAATGCCCGATCATAACAAGGAGCACATGGCGCGTGTGGACGCTCTATAGGGGATGGTTACTCCTTCATGGCATGTGATCCCACCCCTGATGTTTCTAGAGGTCCATGTTTGCTCTGCTCCAAATTTGTATTGCTTCAATGGACTTTTGAGATTGATTTCTGTTCGTTATGTTCATATTTCATATCAATAAATGATTTTAAATTTTAAAAAAAATGATGAAAACGAAGGAGTGACCCCTCCTCCGGAATTTCCAGGGGGTCCATGTTTTATGCCCTCTTCACATGTTTGTATTGTTTGTGGATTTTTTTTTAGATCGATCACTTACCTTTTACATTTTCATGAATAATAGAAGGTCGCCCGGAAGGCGCAGTGGTAGAGCGTCTGCTCTAGAGTCGGGGAGTGTCGCGGGTTCGAATCCCACTGTGGGACGTGGATACCGGTCCTTCGGATGAGACCGTATAATCCAAAGAAGGTGCTGGCACGAAAAATATCCCTCACTGATCAATGGCCCCAAGTGCCGAGCATAGGTCAAAAATTTGCACCTCTCCACCGGAAAGTGGTGGCGTCTTAGTATGAGTGAAAAATTCTCGAGAGGGACGTTCAACAATAGACAAACAAAATGA